TTCCTTCCTTCCTTCCTTCCTTCCTTCCTTCCTTCCTTCCTTTCTTTTTTGTTTTTTGAGACAGGGTTTCTCTGTGTAACTTTCCACCTTTCCTGGAACTCACTCAGTAGCCTAGGCTGGCCTCTAACTCACAGAGATCCGCCTGCCTCTGCCTCCCGAGTGCTGGGATTAAAGGCGTGCACCACCACTGCCTGGCTCTGCCTCCTTTTCTTGCTCCACAGAGCCCTCTACTGCCCAATTGGTCTATTCTTTGAGTTGAACCTTTGGTTGTTGCTGTAGTTGCTGGTGGTAGAATTCGGAGACAGGGTCTCATGGAGCTGAAGTTGGTCAGTTGTTGGCTGAGGCTGAGAATGGCCTGCTACGGCCATCATTCTGCTTCTACCTCTGGAGCATTGGGATTATGTGCCTCTATGCCACTACCTAGGCTTAGGGGTTGCTCAAGACAGAACCCTGGGCCTCCAGTATGCTAGGCTGGCACTCTACCAACTGAGCTGTAGTTGCAGTTGGATATTGGATAGTGAACCAGTAAATATATGGAAACAGAGTAATATCTATTGACAACACTGGGATTTCTTGCCACTGTCAACTGATCCTTCTGGAGTTTCCTAGCTCTGCTTTTGAGCTCTTAAAAAATAACCATGTGCGGGCCCAGCAGTGGTGGCACACGCCTTTAATCCCAGCACTCGGGAGGCAGAGCCAGGATCTCTGTGAGTTCGAGGCCAGCCTGGGCTACAGAGCAAGATCCAGGACAGGCACCAAAACTACACAGAGAAACCCTGACTCGAAAAAAACAAACAAACAAACAAACAAAAAATAATCATGTGCTTTCTAAGCTATCCATCACAAAGCAAAGCAGACCACCAATTCTGCTCTTCTATCTACATTTTAAAATATTACATTATTTTAGCTCCATTCCATTTTATTGTTTTGTCTGAGTCAAGGCAAGAAAAAAAAATCAAACCAAATTAATGCAAAGCATGTTAACTCAAACCTGAGTCTATAAAGTATAAAGGTATACTAACATCTAGGTGAGTCTGTCTGATCGTTTGGGGGTCCAGTACCAAGATCTACTGTTGTCCTGACTTTACAACTTGTGCTGGGAAGGACTGTCATGGAGACAGCCTAGAAGGGCAGGTGACACAGGAAACAGCAGCTCTTCATTTGCTGTGACTTGCTGTATTTGCAGAATGGAGAAGCTGATGCCATGACCATGGATGGAGGCTATGCCTACATAGCAGGCCAGTGTGGTCTGGTGCCCGTCCTGGCAGAGAGCTACGGTGAGTGATGCAGAGTGCCTGCCTCTGTGCTTTCTTCTTTCTGGGTCGTGGGGAGAGGAGAATCACAGTCCAGTTTATCTCACAGCCACTATAAAGTGCCCCCTTCCTGAGCTCCTCCCCAGACTCTGGGACTCCCTCAGCCAGAATCTCCAGTTGCCTTAAAGGATGAGAATGGTGGTACCCGCAGTCCCCGCTATGAGATTTCTGGTATAAAAGGGATCCCACTGCAGAGGCCACATGGGGTGTCTGGAAAGTCTTGCAAATGTCCAACACTCTTGCTTTTCCTGCTACCTTGTTGCAGGACAAATACATTCAGTTAGCATCACATTGCAGGTTTGGTGCATAGCAAGTGAGACACTTGAAATGCAGTTTGTGAATGAATCTGAGAGGTCAGCAGCCAGGGGAACTCGAAACATCTGGAGAGTCTAGCCTTATTGTCAACCAGTAAGGTGTGCAGTTTTAGCCACTCTTTTTATATGTTAGTAGCTTCATGAGGAAGGCATGATTTTCCAACCTAGACATAAATGTTTAATGGTTTATTTTCTTTCCTCCAGATCACACTGATTGTAAATATCGCCCAGAAGAAGGTGAGTTGTGGTAATCCTGGCCATTGGAAGGTAAATTCTCATTGTTGGGAAAAGTGGTTAGGTAAGTTTACAAGTCAGTGGAGAGATCCTATTTTAGAATGCAAAGTGTTGTGAGAGGGTAGTAATCGACCAGTATGGCTGTGTTCCTACACTTGTTATGGCTTAGACATTGGACTTCTCCTTTCCTCTTATAATGTAGGTATTGTCTTCTGTTAGGATTCATGAGAGGATCCAGGGATTCAGAATTTACGAATGGTTTAGGATCCTAGAAACCAATCTAGGCTCTTCCCATTGCCTCCCGCCATTTTGAATTACATGAAGTCTTCAGAGTTTTAATGAGATTTAGCACCGGCCAAGGAACCTTGCTTATGTGGTCCTTGCAGGACTGAGTAGAGAGTTTCAAAATATTGATGTCTAGGAGTGTGGCATTTTCTGATCATCCAACTAGACTGGGCTCAGGAACCAGATTAACCTGTATCTCACTAGGGCTTTGACTAGGGATAGATCTGAAATGATGGCACAAGAGCAAGCAGGAAGTTGGACACTAAAGTGACACCAAGCCCCAGTGCTCAGTTTCCACAGAACCATGGGTGTACAACTCTGGCCTTGCTCCTGCATCTGAACACAACCTTCCAATTCTTAGCATATCTAGAAAGTAATTATTATTATTATTATTATTATTATTATTATTATTATTATTATTATTATTATTTTGGTTTTTGGGTTGTTTTTTTTTATTTTGAGACAGGGTTTCTCTGTGTAGTTTTGGTGCCTGTCCTAGATCTCACTCTGTAGACCAGGATGGCCTCGAACTCACAGAGATCGGCCTGCCTCTGCCTCCTGAGTGCTGGGATTAAAGGCATGCACCACCACCACCCGGTGAAAGAGTCATTATTATTCAATGGATAATAAGGATTGTTTCCTGTTGGAGAGAATATTCTGAATTAATTAAAAAAGAAAACAGAATCATAGGTTGGTGTTCTAGTCCCTGTTAGAGGGCATGTTTGTGCTGCCAAAAAGGACAACTGACTTGGTCTTGGTCTTTCCATTTTGCATATTTACTCTGGTATAAAACTATATTCTCCTTATGAGAAGCTGTCTGATCTGATTAACCCCAGTACATGTTCATTTATAAACTGTCAGCGTTACATTAGCTTTTTGGTATCCATTTCTTGGATTTAATACTTTGGAAAGTGAGTTGCTGGTTTGTTTTTTTTTTTTTTAATAACCTTAACCTTATGCATACAGGTAAGGATTATATGTCAGCCATTTCTCTAATGATAAGGTGTTAATACTTTTTCTATTTATTTTCACATTTTATGGGTGCACATGTGTGTGTGTGGGGGCACATGTGCATGTTTGTGACGTGACATTATGGAGGTCAGAAGTCAACCTCAAGTGGCATTTCTCAGGAGTCGTCCACTTTGTCTTATGAGACAGGGTCTTTCATTGGCCTGGAGTCCCATTAGTAAGTTAAGCTGGCTGTCATTGAGCTCCAGGAGTCTGTCTGTCTCCGACATTATAAGCACATAACACACAGACACAGACACAGACACACACACACACACACACACACACACACACACACACACACACACACCATGCCTGGCTTTTTTACATGGGTTCTGGTTCAGAACTCCGGTCTTCATGCTTACATGGCAAGTACTTTACCAACTGAGCCGTCTCCCCAGCCCATTATTTTATTTTAAAATTGATATATAAAAACATTTAAAAACTGTACATAATCCTGGGGCACTGTGTGATCTTAGTGCTTTGCTTTTGGAATTCTTCCTGCTAGGCTGTTCTGTGATTCACTGGAGTCAGCTCTTGCAGAGTTCCTTACATGACACAGTGTGCTATTTAGGACATCTTTGCTGTTTCATGAAGACAGTGGCAACTGTTGGAAGCAGATGCTCTGGGAGGCCCCAGTGATATTAATAGTTGTTTGGGGGGCATCTTTCCCATAGGGTATTATGCGGTGGCAGTGGTGAAGGCATCCAACCCTGACATCACCTGGAAAAATCTGAAAGGCAAAAAGTCCTGCCATACTGCAGTAGACAGAACTGCTGGCTGGAACATCCCCATGGGCCTGCTGTACGAGAGGACCCAAAGCTGCAAGTTTGGTGAGCAGAGCTGGGAAAAAGCTTGGCACGTAGAGAAGAGGGGTCCTGAGGAAGGCTGTGGGATCCAGGTCCATTAAAGTGAAATTTCGTAAAAGTGAACCTCAAGGAAATAGCAAAAAGGACTAGAAAGGCTGAAGCGCTGAGGAATGGAGCCAGGGTGCTTTGTCTCAGGTGCACATAATGGCTTCAGGGAGTAGACATTTACTTTTCTCTCCCACGAAGAAGACCAGATGTGAGCATTCCATGGCTGATAAGGTCTTGAAGGCTTCTTGCTTCTTTCTGTTCCACAATTCCCAACATAGCACTTCCATGTTCAAAGCTATCTTATGGCTGCCAAGGCATTCATGATTCAGGCAAGAATGAGAGCCAGTGGAAATTTACACCAACTGTGATCAGTGTTTGAAAGGAGCCTTCTGGACATGCGAGCAATTATTTTTGATATAACTTCCCATTATGAGGATCTTAGGTGTGTCATCATGCACCTACCTACACATACCTACCACATATCAAACTAGATTTTTGTTACCGAGGAACAAAGCACAATGGACATTGGGTAGATAGTAAGTGATCCCTACCGTGGGGGTTCTATGATATGATTTTGGGGGGGGGGTTCCTTGGTTTCATAAGGTGTTGGTCATCTCATTGAGTTCCTGCTCAGCTCCCAGGATTCTTCCGTTTACTATGTGTCCTCTGAATATCCTGAGCGGAGTTTGTTTCTACCTCCTGAAGTTTCTGAGTAGACAATCCCAACAGACAGATGTTGATGATGGGTTTGCTTTATGTTGGCTTCCTGAGTTCTTCTTTCCTGATGCTTCCAAATTTGGGCAATTCCTTAAAAAAAAACGAGAGAACTATAAACCTGATTGTAAACCCTACATGCCCGGCATATGCAGGGACTGGAAATGAGGACACAGCTCTGAACTAAGATGCTCTGGTACCTCAGAAACAAAGTACACTCGGAGCCACGGGCAGAAAGCACAGGCCCCTGACCTCTGACCTCTGACCCCTGGGCCCCCTGGACCTCCTGGACTTTCACAGCCACGAAAGCAGCCAAAATGCAGGGAACATTCCCTATTTTTCTCTTAAGCTTTGAAATGAAAGGGGAAACTCAAACCAACACCAACAAAAGCAGTGGTACAATCTTAGAGATTCCACTTCTTCGTTCTTCAGGCTGGAGATGCTGCTGCCCAAGCGATCCCCTCCACCCTGAAGTGGAGCTCACAAATACCTTCCCCCACCTTGACAGGCTTCCTTCAAAGGCCTACTGTCTGGAGATTCTGGGTTGGTGGGTGGCAGGTTGCAGAGTGAATCATTTAATACCCTGTCAGGTGTTAAGTAAACCACTCGAAATCACACACACACACACACACACACACACACACACACACAAAACAAAAAACCAAAACCAAAAAACCCTCCTGACTTTCTCTTGTTCTTTGGTCCAGATGAATATTTCAGTCAAGGCTGTGCTCCTGGGTATGAGAAGAATTCCACTCTCTGTGACCTGTGTATGGGCCCAAGCAAATGTGCCCAGAACAACAAAGAGGGGTATTATGACTACACAGGGGCTTTCAGGTGAGTTTTCCAATCCTAACCTATATAACGATGCCCTAGTTTTGACCAGATTCCTTTTAGGAACAGAGGTGAAGTCTTATGTTATTAGTCTGTTAAGTGCTGTACATATTAGGATGAGAGATTTTTCCCACCAAATGTAGAGATGGCATGTGAAGGAGCATCTCAGTCCCCACAGAGCTCTGCCTGCCTGAGCCAGCCATCAGACAGTGAGGCTGACAGGTGATGCTGCTTAGCAGTTACCAATGGGGGCAATTTGCCTCCTAGAGAACACTGGTCATGTCTAGAGATACTTCTGATGGTGGTGATGTCGGTAGGGGGTGCCTCCAGCATCGAAGAGGTAGAAGTAGATAAATGCCTACAATGCATAAGTCAACACTAATTAACAAAGTCCCAAATGTCACTAGTGCCAAAGCAATGTTACCTTCCCATAACTGACAGAAGACTGAGTCAGGGGTTTGGCTCAAGCTTTTCCATGCTAACCAAGACCCATACTCATCTTGAGGTACAGAATACTGAAGAACATGACTTCTAAATTCCTCTTTACAATAATATTTTATAGAATATCTATCATTTTTTAAACTTAAAAAATTAAAAATTTAATTACCTTGGTGGTATATTGTGTATCCCAATACCCCCGGACAGGACCAGAGAAATGTACCACTACAAATTACATGTATGAGTGTGTGCTGTGTGCAGGATGCCTGTGGGGGCCAGAAGAGGGCATCAGATCCCACAGAGCTAGAGTTATAAGCAGTTGTGAGCTTCCTGATGTGGGTGCTGGGAACAGAGCTCAGGTCTTCTGCAAGAGCCACTGAACTGATCAGCCACCTCTCCAGCTCCATGTCTACCATTTTTGTAGGACATGTGTGTGCCTTGTTAGGGTATGATGGTTTAGTGACTCTTTTGCCTTAGACCTTCTGTTATGTGATAGCTCAGGAATCCATGGTTGATGCTATTACGATTGAACCTCTCAGTAACAAAAGGAAAAGCAAAGGACATCTCAACATGCCATGAAGAACCAAACTCGTGAGAGAAAGTATGAACCACACCACACACACTTCTGATCACACAAAAGAGAATGTGTGGGATGTAGGGTCTTAGGATTTGGAAGATGTAAAATGCACCGCCCCCTTTGACCTTTTCCTTGACCCTTTTGCTGGCGGTAGCATGTTTGAGAACTACAGGTCAAGGAAAAAGGATCACACTTTGCTTGTAGAAACATATTTAAAGGGCTTCATTTTCCAAAATGTTTTCTAAAACTCAGATATGACATGCAACCATCCAACTGACAGACTCTTAGCTTCAAAGAAAACGCAGCACAGTCAGTTCAGGGCACAATAGACATTCACGTTTTCAGTGACTAGCCACAGAAATTTTAGAGAACTGCAGGAAGAGGCAGGTGATTTCCCTTGAAGCAAGAGGGGGAAAGGGGTGGGCCTACTGTTTAAGAGTTGGATTGACCTGGATCAATGAGTAGATACTGCAGCACACACTAGTACAGCACCTGCATGTGTCTACTTTCCAAGGACTTCGGGGGAAAATGGTAGAACCATATACAAGTTAATGTTCCTGGTATTTCTTTCTTGGAACTTCTGGAACTAGTGGTTCAGAATTCTGTTCTCCATCCAAAATACCCTTCCCAGATGTATATGGGGCTTGCTAGAGTCAAGGGCATATGTGTCAGGCTTTGCTGTATTTTCTGTGTTTCTCAAAAGAAAAAAAGAAAGAACAGGCGAGAGGGATGGAGAGAAGAAGAGGGGAGATAAAGAAATGAAGGAAAAAAGGAAAACAAAACAACTCAAAACAGAAACTCCTGCATGCTCCCTGAAAGTTAAAATTATTATTATTATTATTATTATTATTATTATTATTATTATTATTATTTGAGCTGAGGACTGAACCCAGGGCCTTGCGCTTGCTAGGTAAGCGCTCTACCACTGAGCTAAATGCCCAACCCTAAAATTATTTTTTAAAATGGACTAAGGATACCACAAATTGAAATTTGCGATTGAGTTGCAGTCTCTCAAAAATGTGGCACAGGCATTTGGAGCTTCAAAAATATGAAGGGATGGAATTTCTCATCCACATTTCAGATAAATGGGGAGTTATGGGAATCAGAAAACTGATTCCCCGTCCCCCATGTTCGTGTTGGGGAAAGGATATAATCTACTGAGGAGCTGTGCTAAAAATTATGATGTAGAGGGTAGGAGATGGCTATGTCAGTAAATGCCTGCCACACATACATGAGGACCTAAGTTTGGATACCTAAAATTCACATAAAAGACAGGCACAAATGTGTGTGTCTTTAACTTCAGCACTTGTGGGTGAGGAATGGAGAAAGGACAGGAGCTTGCTAGCCAGCCAATTTAGCCAAACTGAGGAGCTCCAGGTTCAGTGAGGGACCATGTCTCAAAAAGATGGAGAGTGATCAAAGGAGATACCCAATGTTGACCTCTACCTTCTGCGTGTGTGTACACATGTGCACACACCCACACGAATGTGCATGTGTGCCCCCCCCCCGCCGCCATATACAAAGAATAAAGAAAGAAATTATGTAGTATGTGGAGCTGAGCTTGTGGAACTGTATAGCAACTTGGAGTCTTTTCCTTATTCTGCATGGTGCTTAGTGATAGAATGGTCCTAACACTTGCCGATGTCAGGTGGCGCCTCTGAATGACGTGTGTCAATCTGACATCCTATCTTCTCTCCCCTCTATATCTGGACCTCTTCAGGTGTCTCGTGGAGAAGGGAGATGTAGCCTTTGTGAAACACCAGACTGTCATGCAAAACACGGGCGGTACGTGTGCACTCTCTTCCGTTCCCTTACAGAATCTGGATCGCTGGGATTTGCTGGGGTTCTTTCTTGCCACCAGAGGGTTATCCTGACCTTGGTTCCTTGTGTCACCTTAGATTTCTTTTGTGCTTTTAAACTAAGTCTCTGATTTCTAGGCCTCGACTCTGCACTTTTCATAATGATCCCATAGTCTATAGCCTTCTGGCTACAGTTTCTATAGGAGACCTAGCCTTCCATCCCCTTCAGCCCCTCTGATTGCCACGCTGCTATTTTCATGCAGAGAACGCTGGCATTGTAAACTCCATTGGCACAAATGCAAGCCCTTCGTAGTTCTCCTCTCATAGCTTCTGACCCTAAACAGAGAACATTGTTGTAATTCCCTGCCAGTCCCTCCCCTTGTCTCTCCATAGAACCACAGCAGTACTTGGGAATTAACCCAAGGCCCTGCTCAAGCTCAAGCAAGTCTTTACCACTTAGGGTGGCGGAAGCAAGTTTGCTATATTAAAATTAAGTTGAATTAACTGTTCCACACCTATATGAGCACACTCACATGCAATAGAACTCATGACTACTATAGTGATCAAAAAATTATAAACATTCCAAATACCTATAAATGGAGGGATGGTTTAAAAACACTATTCTATGCCACAGAAGGTCCAATTGCTTAAAAGAATGACCTCAATTTACATAATGGTATAGAAAAAGCTGAAGGTATATAAGTGTAGAATGAATCTTACACTATCACCACATATACGTAGCTGAGAAAGAGCTACCAGAGTTTATATATGCTAAGATCTAATGCTAAGAAAAACTGTACGCTTGTAACATCATGGAGAGCCATATATAGATAAAGAAGTTTAAGAGGCACAGATGGAGCCAGGCAGTGGTGTAGTGGTGGCGCGTGCCTTTAACCCCAGCACTTGGGAGGCAGAGGCAGGCGGATCTCTGTGAGTTCGAGGCCAGCCTAGTCTACAGAGTGAGTTCCAGGACAGCCAAGGCTATAACAGAGAAACCCTGTCTTAAAAAACAAAACAACAACAACAAAAAGTCATGATGGAAACACAAATTGTGCTTTCAAGGATTGGAGCCATAGGAACCATTGGGCTTTGGGGAGTGCAGAAGTGAGGATTTTTAGTTTATAAGTAGACGCATTTAAAAATATAACTGGGGTTGGGGATTTAGCTAAGTGTAGAGCGCTTGCCTAGCAAGCGCAAGGCCCTGGGTTCAGTCCTCAGCTCTGGAGGAAGGAGGAGACACCTAAGGAGATAAGCACTTGAATAAATCTAAGTCATACTGTTGTTGATGTTTAAAAATATGATAACCTTGGTCTCACATAGCATTTATTCAATTACGGAAAGAGTGTTCCGTGAACAATGAATGAAAGAGAAAGGTCATAATCCTGCCTTATGGGAGAGAAATGAAAACTGGCAAAATAAAATGTCAAGAGGAACCATGGAAAGCCTCAGGTCAGGCAAAGGTTTTTAAACTGACTGAATAAATAATTAATTATTGCAAAGAGAATACAGAGAAGATTAGGCAAGCAGCTGAGACAGGACGTTTTTCCCTGGGACTAGCAGGAAGTCAAACTCAAAGTGTTGTTGTTGATTTAAAAGCACCCTCTGGAGCAATTCTTTTGTTTGGAGATGTGATGTGTGCAGAGATGGAGAAACTGGCTTGGAGCATCACGTTCTTTCCATGCTGGAGCCAGAAGTACAAAGGCTTTGGAATTTTGTTATTGTCTGAGACAGGCCTCACTATGTAGACTAGGCTGGCCCTGGACTCCCAGAGATCCATTTGTCTCTGCCTCCCAAAAGCTGAGATTTAAGGTGTGCACCACGATGCCTGGCCTTTTAAAAAAATGCTTTGTTGTTCTTTCGCTTTGGAATTTAATAGAAATGAAGATCTTTTTTTAAAACAATACCCCTAGAACATGGATTCTTTTTGTTTGGCTGAGAGGGAAGATCAGTAAGGAGCGGTCACTAGTAATCTCTTGTGACTTGAGTACCACCTGCAGCCCGCATGAGCGTCCCTTCCTCCCAGCACTGTCACAACCCTGCACGTGTGCTTCTGGCCAGGAGGCACAGACTCTCCAGCGGGTCAGTGTGCCCCGGCCCTCCCCCCTCCCCAGTAACTAAAATGATCAGATTGGCTGATCCCCCCTTTTTTCTACCCAGGAAGGAACACTGAAGCATGGGCTAAGAATCTGAACCAGGACGACTTCGAGCTGCTGTGCCTTGACGGCACCAGGAAGCCCGTGACTGAGTTTGCCAGTTGCCACCTGGCCCGAGCTCCAAACCACGTTGTGGTCGCACGGAAAGAGAAGGCAGCCCGTGTTAGCACAGTGCTGCTGAACCAGCAGGTATGGACTGTCGGGGCCTCCCACCTCCTAGTCCGGGGCAGGTTGTTTGGAGTTCAGAGCTAAGCAAAGCTTCGGGGTGGACATTCACTTTCTGAAAACTTATAATTTGGAGTCCACAGATCGTGGATCAGAATATCCAAGTTCAAATCTCAGCTCGGCAGCTTCCTAACCATGTCACCTTAGATGTATACGGCTGGACATTGCCATTCTCCATTTCTTCACATATTAAGAGGAAATGATAATATGGACACCTGTTTCTCAGTTAATAAAAAAAAAAGTGAAGTAATGCACACAAAAGGGTTAGGAAATGTGTGTCTAATGGAGAGGCTCACAGCGTGTTAGCTGGGACTGGATCCCTCCGACCTGGCTCTGCTTCTGTGGAACTCCTAGTCACTAGAGACAAGTTCCCACCTGACCCACAGAGCCCTCAGGACCTGGAATCTGCCTTCCAGCCCCCTTTTGACCTTGACTCAGGGATTCCTTTATTTTCCTCAAGTATGTTTTTTCTGAAGATTGAAGATGACAGGTCCTGCTTCCTAATGTTCTTGCATACAAGTCTTGAGGACCAGAAGTGATTTCTATTCCTCATGCTTAGATCGGCTTACCATGTTCTTAACAATCTGGAAAACAGAAGACTCTCACCCTCAGAACAACCCTGTCAGGGCCAGTCTCAGGGGCAGGGGAGTGGGGGGAGGAAGGGGAACATTTACGGGACTGCTTGAATACTTCAATCCCTGGGGCTCCTCTACACACAAACATCGCCCTCCCTTCTGGTATAGCTTCCTGCCTGTTAATTTGTCATCAGTTTTAAAAGAAAAGAAAACAAAATAGGATAGGATGTCTTCAAAAGCTCCTTTAAAAGCACATGGTGATAATATCAAATGATGTCTCTAGTTTGACATTAGATTTGGGTCAAATAATCTTACAACAGATAACAGAGTTTCATATCAGTGTTACTGCTGTTTACTTTTTGGTTCACTGTGAAATTCATTAACCTTTTCACGGTGTTTTAAACCTCTGTTTCTTGTGTAGATTTTTAGAAAATGCTGTGTCAATTATAAAAGAGTTTAAAATGAAAAAGAGAGTACATGATGATAATAACGAGCATTTAAGGATATTCCTTGTGTATGACAGGAATGCTAACCTGACTTCTTAGCATCATCATTTACAACCTTGAGAGGCTGGGGGAAGCTACATGGCTGGTCCAAGACAAATTTACAATTTATCCACAATGAACTTCTAGTGGTTTCTTTTTACCATTCCTGAGAGAGCTCATATCTGATGTCTTTTGGGCAACAATACTGGAAGGGACATGGTATTTCTTCTCACTTCCTATAAGCACCTCCAAGGCAGTCCAGTCATGAAATGGAAAAGAGATCAGAAAAGGTGGAAGTGGGTAGTTGAGGGGGGTGGGAAGTCTCAGAGGACAGTAAGACAAAGGATGCCACAGAGGACTCTGGAGGTATTGTGGAAACACATGGTTCAAGTTCAGGCAGGTAAATGGCAGATGCGGGAGGTGGAAAGTTCCCAAGGCATATCCTGTAGCTTTCTTTTGTTCCCAGGGCTAGCTTGGAGCGCCCAGCCTCCTGCAGTGCAGGTGTTTCCCACTGCTCAGGGATGTATGTTCACATGTATTTTCTGTTCATTTGACAGACTACATTTGGACACAGTGTAACTGACTGCACTACAAATTTCTGTTTGTTCTCATCGAACACCAAGAACCTTCTGTTCAGAGATGACACCAAATGTTTGGTTAAACTTCCAGATGGCATCACATATAAAGAATACTTAGGAGCAGACTATGTCCAAGCTGTTGGTAACATGAGGAAATGCTCAACCTCACGTGAGTAGAATGAGCAGGATGGAGAAGTTGCAAAGGAAACCCAGTGATGGGTTCTGGAATGGCAGTTATAATAGAGAAGTCAAGCATGACCCTGAGGAAAGAGCCACACGGGCCAGATAAAACCTGTCACAGACAACAGGGTGGGTTATATGCACATATAGTAAGGGGACCACAGATCCAGGATACTAGGGGAGCGAGCTTATTATATGTACATAATCTCATCTTATTTCTAAGAAGATAGAAAAAAAGGGGGACCAAACTTATTAGAGGTCCTTGTCCAATATGGCAACCACTAGCAAGATGTGACTACTTAAATTTAAATTACAGCTGAAATAAATCAAGATATCATTTCCTCGATCCCATCCAGCTACAATTTTAGTGAAAAGTAGCCATAGCAAAGAGAATATTGCAGAACATCTTAGACAGCTCTGATCTGCAGAATGTCAATAATGATGTGTTCCAAGCTCATCTGGAATGTCATAGTCCAGGAATTGAAACAGAATAAAATATAGTTTTCAGTCTGTTTTGGGATTAGTCGAATCACTTGGAGGCATTTGGAAAATGTGAGGGAATCCATGTGGTGTAAGGTGATTAGTCTTCAGCTGTAGCTTGTAGGTGAGTCTTGGTCCTGATTTAAGTTGCTATCCGAGAGATACAGCTTGAGTGAGTCTGTGCTTGTTCAGGACGATGGCACTTTCAAGGTTTCCGCATGTGGGTTGGCAAAATGGTTCAGCGGGTAAAAGAGCTTGTAGCATCAAGCTTGTAGCTTGATGACCTGAGTTTGATCCCCAGATCTGACAGTAGAAGGAGAATACACACACACACACACACACACACACACACACACACACGTTGCCACGTGCAATTCACACGTGTAAGCAATGTGCTTGCTTAGGCCCATTGTTAGAAAATCCAAATCACTCTTTCCTTGACCTTTATGCTGCCCAAGATAACAGTCTAGCTTTGCTATTCTCCATCCTATCCCTAGACTCATCTCAGAAGTTGCTGGGGACTACCAGCCACCATCTGCCTAAAAATCTCAGGAAAGAGTCTTTTGGACAATTTCTAGCTATAATTCAGGTGCAGAGCCTCACCCATTAAAAACAAGGTAGAAGATGCCACGGAGTAGGAAAGTCATGTTACAGCATCTACATCCTTGGTGTGGGGTCCTCCCTGTGGTAGGCACAGGAGCCATGTAGGCAAGTAGAGATGAGCATTGGAAGAATGGGCCACAACATGCATCAGAACAGCAGAATAATGATCTTTAGCACCTTTATGTTACACTGAGCTGTCCATTCACTAAACAGTTCATAAATACGAGTATTCTGAATGCCCTCCATCTCTTCTCTCTCCAGGACTCCTAGAAGCCTGCACTTTCCACAAAAGTTAAAAATCCAAGAGGAGGGCTGCCAGTGTGATGGAGATGGGTGATCCATGGGCTTCCCTGGGCCTCCATGGCCTGAGGGGTTCAGGAAAACTGTGTCTATCTTCACAAAGAGCACAAAATAAAAATGACTGTTGACTTTATATTTTCCAAGCTCCGTTCTTTTCTAAATGTTTTCACCAGGATTTCTTTATACAATCTGACTATGTTTGCAACTGAACCTTGTCTTCTGAGCTTAAGATTCAGGTAGTCGGGGCTGTATGCTCTTCCAGAGGACCCAGGTTCAATTCCCAGCACCCACATGGGGGCTCACAATTGTTTGTAACTCCAGTTCCAGAAGTTCTGACGCCCCCTTCTGCTCCACGGGATCCTGCATGCTTGTGAGCTAACATATGCAAGCTAACACAACCACATACCTATAAAAATAAAAGATAAGAAAGTAATTTTAAAAAATGAAAATATTTTTTTAAAAAAGTAAAAAGATTCAGATAGTCTTTCCCACAGCTCTGTGTGGGGTCCACAGACCACAGCTCCAGGGTCCAGCCCAAGAGACCTTTGAAAGGGTCTCCTAAGTCATCCTAATAGAATCAAATTTATATGGTCACAGCTTTTGTTAAAAATCTTCCTTTGAGCCTGAGAACATATTGATTTCTGTCATCAGTTAGTAGGCTGGGTGTGGGAGCCCGTTCTGGGGTTCCTCGTGGCTTTACCCAGCAGGTCCGCATAGAGGATGATCAGGCCCACGGGCCTGAGTGCAGGTGTCTGAGATGGTCTGCACTTGGCTGTCCTGGGGGAGGAGGTCTTTTGCTCCCCCCCTTGGCGTCTCTATAAAAACCCTGGGCCAGAGACAGTTGGGGCCCGTTGGAATAGGTTCCAGGCCCTCTCGAGGCTATCCTTTATTTTCTATCTGTTTATGTCCGCAAGATTCTCCGCTATAAATCCTTCTATCTAATATTTCCTGCTGATTGCACTCAAGAAAACTCTGGGGAACTGTGGGGGTGGTGGGTAAACGCCCCACAGCTGGGGGTCCTTTTACATCACTCAACTAGACATCATGGGCAGGCAAGGAAAAGTGCTGGTCATTGGGAGCTTTGGTGTATAGGGTGTCCCACAGTGGGGGGGCGGGGGGGGGGATGCAGGAGGTGGGCAGGCAGGCCAGATGGCGCCCTCTAGTGTTACAGTTCTCCTTTAGGAAACAGGTGGTAAGATTTAGCTGTTACTGAGCAGAGCTAAGTCATTAAGGGCCTGTGTAGTCGTTAAGGGCCTGTGTAGTTGTTAAGGGCCTGTGTAGTCGTTAAGGGCCTGTGTAGTCGTTAAGGGCCTGTGTAGTTGTTAAGGGCCTGTGTAGTCGTTAAGGGCCTGTGCAGGTGCTGCTAATTAGGAAGTCAAAATGTCCCATGACCCAAGGTCTTGGCTTATTTGTGCAAGATGAACATCAAAAGGAGTGCTTCAAATAAGAATGGCCCAAGAGCTCAACATTCTCACTGACAGTGATTTTCAGCAGATTTTAACAGTCTTCCCAGTGCCCAGGGAGAGTTGGGGTCCTGCTCCTGGTTCATTTCTACCCTATCTCCTCCCCTTTCCAGTCCACTTTCCTGTAAGGTACAGCTCATTCTCTCCCCCCTGCCTCCCGCCATGTATTAGTAATAAATAGTTGGCTGAACACATAGAGACTAGTCATCAGCTCTACCCACTTCCCACTCTGACATAAGTCACTGCCACCTGCCAACTCTCGAACCACCTTCTTTATTCTTAAGTAAGCATGTTTCCTGCACTTCTTGCAGATGTCTATCCTCCCTTTCTTTCTTTCTTTCTTTCTTTCTTTCTTTCTTTCTTTCTTTCTTTCTTTCTTTCTTTCCGTTTTTTTCGAGACAGGGCTTCTCTGTGTGACAACTCTAGCTTTCCTGGAATTTGCTTTGTGGACCAGGCTGGTCTTGAACTTACAGCCATCCACCTGCTTCTGCCTCCTGAGTGCTGGGATTAAAGGTGTGCGCCACCACACCCGCTATCCTCCCTTTCATGGGATGGTTTTCCCTCTCTGATATGGCTACCCTCTTTGATTCCTATCTCTCTCTGTTCACTCGTGGTCTGAACTGTGACCTTATTCAACTAGTCTGGATATCTTAAGACTTCTTCTTGACCCAATGTTCCCCTTTCTTTTCAGATTCCCTTCTAGCAATGGGAATGACCTCGGGGCATCCATAGTCATAGTCATGACCCAAGTCTCCAGCATTCTCCTTCTATGCCTCCTTCCACCTGTGGATCTGTTGCATAGAGTCTTACAGCAAACAGAAACCCAACATATCAAAGACTGGGGCTGGGGGTGTGGTTCAGTGATAGCTTACTTGCTCCAAGTTTGATCCCCAGTGTTACAAGCTAAACAAAACAACAAGCAAACAAACAAAACCTGAGGGAATCATCCTATTCTTCTATGCTGTGATAAAACACTGTGACCAAGGCAACTTATAAGAGCAAGCATTAAATTTGGCTTATGGTTTTAGAGGGTGAGGGTCCATGTTGGCAGAGCAAAGGCATGATTAGAGAAACATCTGAGAACTCACATCTACATCCACAATCATGAGGCAGAGAAAGAGAGAAAGACCACACTGGTAATAGCACAAGTCTTTTGAAATCTCAAAGCCTGCCCCCAGTGACACACCTTCTCCAACAAGTCAACACTTTCTAATCTTTTCCAAACACTTCCACCAACTAGGGACCAAGTATTCAAACATATGAGCCTATGGGGGCCACTCTTATTCAGACCATTGAGGGGAGAGAAAGAGAGAGAGAGAGAGAGGAGAGAGAGAGAGAGAGAGAGAGAGAGAGAGAGAGAGAGAGAGAGAGATCATTTGGGGGGTAGAGAGATAACTTGGTGATTATGAGCATGCTGTGGAACAATCTTTGTACACTGTAAGTATGTATCCACTCTTGTTGGTTAGTAAAGAGCTGACTGGCCTGTTAGCTGGGCAGGAGAGCCAGACTAGGAGGATGCTGGGAAAAAGAAGGCCAGAGTCTCAGAAGTCACCAGCCAGATGCAGAGGATGCAGGATGTGTACAAAATGAGGTAACAAGCCATGAAACATAGTAGAACTTAGATAAGAAATATGGGTCAATTTAAGTTTTAAGAGCTAGTTAGTAACAAGTCTAAGCTATTGACCTAGCATTCAAATTAATTTTAAGTTTCTATGTGGTTATTTGGGAACTGGCCGGCGGTCCTGATGAAAAACTCCACCTACACACCTTCTCCAACAAGGCCACACCTACTAATCCCAAACAGTTTCACCAACTGGGGACCAAGCATTCAAATATATAAGCCTATGGGGCTCTTCTCAATCAAACCACCACACAGCCTAACCTATATAGTAAATTCCACACTCACCAACCTCTGTTCCACCAATCTCCACGAAGTGTGAGATCTTATATCATCCTCACTTTAAAAAAATCATTGTTTAAACATTATCAGATGAAAATTTGTTGGGGTTAGATGGTAGAAAGGTGTGTTTGTGTATGCCTGTGTGTGTGTGTGTGTGTGTGTGTGTGTGTGTGTGTGTGTGTGTGTGTATTTTTTAAAACAGGTTCTCATGTTATCCAGGCCAGCCTCAAACTTGCTATGCAGCCAATGATGACCTTGAACTGCTGAGCTTTCTGCCTCCACCTCCCAAGAGCTAGGATTACAGGTGCTCACCACACCTGGCTCAGTTGTTCTTTTAGTTTCTTAGGAAACCTTCATGCTATGTCATGTAGTGGCTATGCCATACTGTTCCCACCAACAGTGTCTCAGGTTCCCCTTTCTCCACACTTTCACCACTGTTTGATATGTTCTGACTTTTTAATAGTAGCTATCTTCATGAGTGTAAGGTAGTAAGTAGCTCATAGTGGTTTTGATTTTCATTTCTCTAATGGCTAGAGATGTTCAGCTCATTTCATATTCCTGTTGATAACTTGCCACATGTGGAAAATGTCTCTTCAAACCATTTTAACATATTTTATTTATTTATTTATTTATTTATTTATTTATTTATTTATTTATTTATTTATTTGTGTGTATAGTTAGGACCATAAAAAGAAAAGAAACAGAATGTGTCATGATTACTGATAGTCCTGGTACTTTACCTGATAATAACAATTTATAACCTATCTATTTAAAGCTCACATCCTCAACACTTCTCTTGGACCTGCAGCCCTTTATCAAATGAATCCTACCACCTTATGGCAAGTGGTTAAGCATATAGAAGCCTAACTGCCTGCAATTAAACCCCAGCTCGGCCTCTGACTATGTACTCATGGGGAATTATGCAAACCTTTCCTCGATTTCCCCTCTGTAGAGGTTGGAATGATGAGTCATTGTGAGAACCGGACAAATGAATTCATTAAAAGTACTTCGAATGCTTTCCGACACCAGAAAGTGCTCATTACTGTTAGACAGAAGCCCCGTTCTTGTTATCACTGTTTCCTGCTTATCATAGTCTTCCACACTTACACTTCCCCACACTTCCGGAGCCCCTGAGCTCACACGCGTCCAGAGCCTTAGCGTAAGGGCTGTTCTGCTACAAAAGAGTCTATTGACAACTGCCAGATGTGCTTGTTTTATTTCTATGTAACTGACCCATGAACTCCCAAAGAAGCCCAGGTGATTCCTGCCTCCAAATGAAAACCAAGTACATATTTGGGGCACTTTATATCTCTTCTTTCCACCACCTGCTTGACAGTGGCCTTCAGATTTCTCAGGAACACCTGAAACATGACATAGTCAATTTTTATTCTAGCTTCCTTTACTAATTGGGTCCACTCTCCCTTATTGAAGTCCTTAATTCACCAAAGGACCCATTCTTCTTTCCAGTCACCCAACACTAATGTTCTAGGGAAAAGGCTTGATTGTTTTCCGGTACTTAAGTCATTATTTTCATCTATATATTTTTATAGTCATTACAACCTGTATCTTTTAACTTCTAAATATTCCTGAAATTTGTGTCCTCCATTCCATACTTTTATCCTATGTTAGACTCTGGATATCTTTTGCCTAAATACAACAAGAGACTCCCATTGGTTGCCAGCCTCAGTTCTCTGTAGATCTGTCAATTATCCATGTCTGTTGTTGTTTGGTTTTGCTCTTTTTGCGTGGCCGCCACTCAGCTCCCAAATAAATCACACATGGAGGCTTATTCTTAATTATAAATGCCAGGCCTTAGTTTGGCTTGTTTCTAGCCAGCTTTCCTTAATTTATGCTGTCTACCTTTTGCTTCTGGGCTTTTCCCCATTCTTTTCTGTAAATCTTACTCTTACTCTGTGGCTTGCTGTGTAGCTGGGTGGCTGGCCCCTGGAGTCCTCCTCCTTCTCTGGCTACTTCTTTTTTCCTCCCAGATTTCTCCTCCTATTTGTTCTCTCTGCCTCCCAGCCCTCCCTGTCTTTTCTCCTGCCTTGCTATTGACTGTTCAGTTCTTTATTAGACCATCAGGTGTTTTAGACAGGCACAGTAACACTGCTTCACAGAGTTAAACAAATGCAACATAAACAAAAGTAACACACCATAAAATAATATTCTATAACACATCACCTTCAACTTGTTGTTACATTCTGAATAAACTCAAGATTCTTCAGCATAGCACACCAAACCACTTCAGGTCTGAGTCCCACAGACCCTTGCAGCTGGTTCTCTGCCACTTTTGCTTAAATGAGCGTTGTAATCAGTTTTTACAGTTTGTAACCAGTGACTCAGCATCTGGTGATGACAAGGCCAATGAGTGGCCCGAATTGTGCTTATTTCACCTGTGGTGCATCTAACTCATACTGGGAACCTTCCAAATGCAAACCTTAGCATATTTGTTTCATTTCCTACCCAATCAAAAATGTTTCTGCCTAGCCACTCTCTGCTAGCCACACTGTGAGAAAGGGAGAGTCCTATTTCCTCCCTTCCTGGTGCCTCAGAACTGGGGTTTGTGTGGCAATGTGGAATTGTAAAGAAGTTGTTTAGTCTTTAAGGAACATTGACTTCTCATGTCATCACCCAGTCAAACCTATACTTTAAATCACACACATGCTTAATGACAGAGACTGCAAACAGAGCCCTCTAGGCTTGGCCACTCCTGACCCGTAGAGGTGTTTTTAAATTCGAGCACACATTTTTTTTTTAATGTTTTCGATTACCTGCTGAAATCTTAAGTAGAAGATTTCCCACGAAAATCTTTTATAAATTAAGTTCTCTTGAGAAACTGGGAGAACTCGTCTACCCCAGGCCTCAAATGGCCGACCTGTGACATCTCTTGCCACACTATACTCTGGTAAAACGTTTCACAAGTCTCATCCCGTGTAAAGGCAGAGTAGAAATCCTCAAATGAAATTTTGCAAGCCACTAACTTCGCTTAAATTCATCGTTCTTTCAAAAATCAAAAAGAAATGGGCGTAGAGGGGTGGATTTGACTAATACACATATTTGTGTATGAAATTCTCCAAAGATAAAATTTAAAATGTAAGGGGTGGGGGCGGGGAAACGCACAAATAAGACAGAGTCGATAAATTCATATCCCAAAGAATGAAGGTGTATCCGTAGACCAGTTAATCGGTTTCTAGAAACTAAAAAACTCCAACTCCCATCAGGCACTTGGAGCTCCTCACGGCCGGCAGTCGGGAAGACACGCCCCCCGCCCCGCCCCCCACCTACGAACTACCACTCCCGTGATGCTCCGCGCCCCATCGCAGCGCGGAGTCTAGGGCCACGTCGCTTAGGCGGACCGGGAAGACAACTCACCTTCCTCATGGCTTCCGCGGATACCCGGCGAGTGGGGGACGGCGCCGGGGGCGCCTTCCAGCCTTACCTCGATTCCTTGCGGCAGGAGCTGCAGCAGAGGGACCCGACGCTGCTCTCCGCGGCGGTGGCGCTGCTCGCGGTCCTGCTGACGCTGGGTGAGGCGGCGGGCGGTCGCGGCGAAGGCGGGCTGGCGGAGTTGGGGCTCGGTGCTGCAGCAGGCCTGGGAGGCGGGCGGCGAGGCTCCCCTCTTCTGCCATCCGCCCTCCAGAACCCAGCAGCGTCGAACGGGGACTCCGAAGTGACCTGGTTCTGGGGACAGGAGTGCCGGAGGCTCCCCAGGGTGCTTGAGCGCCGAGTGCGCCCGCCTCCATCGCTCACACCAACTTTGAGCTGCTTGTATCTGTGAGCTGGGCTCTGGGCTACTGGGGTACTAAGGTAGAAGAGATCCTCAAATCAAATTTAGCAAGCCATTAATTTTTTTTCTTCAAAATTCATCGTTCTGTAGGTACTTGAAGTCTCCACAGTTGGGATGAGGGACATAGGTGTGGAAAAGCTGACAGTCGATGTGGCTGGCACTCAGAGGGTTCCTAACTATTACAACGACTCTCATGGGTTATAACAATGAATGCGTTGTTTTGTCGTAAATGCCTGTTAATGCCCTTGAAAATGAAGGCTGTTTTTCTCTTACCTGCAGTTTTCTGGAAGTTCATCTGGAGCAGAAAGAGCAGTCAGAGGGCTGTTCTCTTCGTTGGGCTTTGTGACTCTGGGAAAACGTTGCTGTTTGTCAGGGTAATGCTTTGATTTCCACCTCTGTTAAACGTAATAGAAATTGTCATGGCGTTTCAGTATTCCTGTCCTCTTGTGGCTTATTTGGTACAGGAAACTAAGCAAGTTTGGAACAAGTTTTAAAAAATACTTTATGTATTTTAAGGTCTTTTCTTTTTTTAATTATATGTATGCTTGTGGGTATGTGCACATGAGTGCCTGTGCTTGTGGAGGCCAGATGTGTATATTCGGTGGAGTGAGCTGCCTGATGTGGATGCTAGGAATTGAACTCAGGTCCCTTACAAGAGCAGTATGTGTTCTTAACCAACTTAGCTGACCGTCCTCCAGCCCTGGGAGTTAATTTTCTTCTTACATGGGAATACAAAAAGACTCTAGGAAAACCTGTAACCATCCCTCCACACATGCACACATTTAGCCCTTACTATAAGGTCTTATGTAAATATATTTCTGTGGGTGAAGATGCCAGAAGAGTTATTGATGGGTAATGAACCCTTTTGAGAGCTTACCAGAGACTTTTCGTCGTTGTTTCAGATTTTGGATGTTTTGAATTTTGGAATATTTGCATACTTTTTTTTAAAATCACTTTAGCATCCTTAATCTGCTCTAAAATTCAAAACACTATATTTTACTCATTTGTAAACTGTGTTGTGAGTTCTGTATAGCTCAGTGGTTCTCACCAAACACTCTGTGCAGCAGTGTTGGGATTGCATTTGGGCCAAGACTGGGCAAAGGCATTTGCATCCCAGGCTGCTGATTCCTCAGTAAGTTCACTGTCGCTGAATGTGACATGTGACATGTACGTTGGCTGATAGGTTTTTTAGTATAAAGCATGAGAGGGAAATGTTGAAGCTGGATGCTGGACTTGACTTGTCAGTGGCATGGGCAACTTCTTTGCCGAGGCAGGTGATATGGTTAAGAATATATGATCAGGGGCTGGGGAGGTGACCCAGTCCATAGTGCTTGCCTGGTAAAGTGAGGGCTTGAGTTTGGATCTCTGGAATCCACCTAAAAGCCAGGCCCAGAGGTGCCTGTCAGTCATCCCAGTAGACACACAGTGGATCCCTGGAATTCCTTGGCTGGCCAGCCTTGCTGGTTGGTGAGCTCCAGGTTCAGTGAGAGACCACAGCCTCAAGGTGGAGAGGAACGACTCCCAATGTCAGCCTCCAGTGTACACATACACATGTTAAAGGATGCATGTCAGTTTCTTGGGCTAACCAGAATATAATGGCTACAGGCATTTGCTTTTAAGTTTAGCCTGCTTTATTACTTTTCTTCATCACTTTCTTAAATCTAAGCAATCAATAAAAGAATAAAGGAAACCCAATAACCTTTGTTGGGACATGAAATAGTCGCAGCATGGCCAGTTCTGAGCAACTCAGCATTATCAAAGACATGACAAAAATGATCCTCCTTTGGTAGTTTAAGCTGATGAGGCTTCCTTTTACTAATACTTAGCTTTATATAGCCAATATTTTTTTTTAACTGAGCATGTTTTACTATGGAGAATTTCCACTCTGCCTTTGGAGGGTACAAATTATATTTAATCCTTTGTGTGTGTGTTCATGTGTGTGAGTGCTGGTATGTACACACGTGTGTGCCCTGTCACATCCATGGAGGTCAGAGGATGACAGGTGTTGGTTTTCTCTCATTGCTGTGCCAGGTTAGCAAGTCTGAATTTCTGGAAATTCTCCTGACACCTCCTCCCACCAGAGTACTAGAGCTATGAATGTGTGCATCACTAGATCTGCTTTTATATGGGTTCAGAAGATCTGAACTCAGATTGGCAGGCTTGCACATCTCCTCAGGCCTTGAATTGGTTTTGGTAGTTTAAATGTTTACAGGTCAGTGAATTTGAACCCTTGCTGTAGTTTGAAGAAAATAGTATTCAGCCAAGGGTGTCACCCATTGTTAGAGTTGCTTTTGAAGCATGTCTGAGGCTTTGGGTTAGATCACCAGCACTGCAAAAAAGAGGAATAAAGCCCATAATTAATTATATTTTTCTACAGGTTAAAAATAAATCAGTACGATCCTTTTCAGCTACTTCAAGTAGCATTCATTCATTTGACCTTATGCTTGAGAGAATTGAAATGTTATTCTTTAAATTAGGTTTGGTGTTATTGTAGTGTGCTTACCCAGATCTCGTCCATCTTGGTTTTTTACAGTTGCTAACTGGCCACTACAGAGACACACAGACTTCCATTACCGACAGTTCTGCTGCGTACAAAGTGAACAATAACAGGGTAAGGTATCTGTGGAATGTTTTAGAATCTGACACTCTTCTTACTGTGAATTCTAGAAAATACTCTGACCAGAAGCAAATTGGGGTGGAAAGGGTTTAATCTGGTTTACACTCCCAAGTCATAATCCATTATTAAGGGAAATCAAGGCAGGAACCTGAAAGCAGGAGCCATGTAGAAATTCTGCTTGCTGGCCCACTCTTTAGTTTACTTAGCTTGATTTCTTCATAGCCCTGGACCAGCTGCCTCAAAATGAAACCTCCCACATCGGGCTGGGCCCTCTTATATCAAGTAGCAATCAAGAAAATGACCCTGCTGACATGCCCACAGGCCAATCTGATGGGACTTCTTCTGTTGAGGTTTCTCCTCTCAGATGACTGTAAGCTGCGTCAAGTTGACAAAGCTAACTAGCACCCTGGCATGTCAAGGAAGGACCTTCCTGAGTGGAGTAGTCCGAGGATGTAGGTATCATTTGTAGCCTACTTTTATGAAAAACATAGTCTTCATAGCCGATCTGTCCTTGCCAATCTTTACTATGAGTTTCAGTGGGCATTGGGTCTTTTTCTGTTACAAGAGGCAATACATAGGCTAATCATTTGCTTAAAAGTAGTTTTCCCAGCCGGGCAGTGGTGGCGCACGCCTTTAATCCCAGCACTCAGGAGGCAGAGGCAGGCAGATCTCTATGAGTTCGAGGCTAGCCTGGTCTCCAAAGTGAGTTCCAGGAAAGGCGCAAAGCTACACAGAGAAACCCTGTCTTAAAAAAAAAAAAAGTAGTTTTCCCTTTCTGTCTCTGCTACCCAGACTTCTTTAGAAGCTGTCTCATAATTAGATTTTTAGTCAGAACATTGTTAATATTTAGTGGCATTACAATCTTTTGCTTTTATGAGCATTGTTGTGATGGATATATATTGTACATTTCAAAAATACCCCCAAAGAATGAGAAGAATGGCTTGTTGCATGCCTGTGTAGCTGCAGGGTGCAGATGGTAACTGCCAAGCTGATTACAATGCTAACAGCTTTGGTGAGGGAGGGCTGAGGGCTCAGTGGCCAATTAGGGATGGAAGGATAGGTGATGGATGAATTAGAGTTCTGAGTTTAGAGACCCTGTTCTTCCCCTTTTTGGTGCCTTAAGAATTAAGCACTGTCAGAAAATAAAAGGATCAACCATTTGACAACTTTTTTTTCTACAATGGTACTTCTCTGATCAACAACTTTATTATTATTATTATTATTACTATTATTATTTTTAAGACAAGGTCTCATTGTAAGCATTGCAGCTTGGATGAAAAGGTCTCCTAGCAGCTAGGAGCCAGGGAATACCACAAGGTCACTGTAAGCGTAGCAGCTTACAGCCCTCCTCCAGGGAAAGGTTCCCAATGCAAGTGTAACAACTCTGCTCCAGCAAGGGGAGGGTTTTCCCAGCGAGGCTGTCACAGCTCTGCTCTGGAGAAGTGTTACAGCTCTGCTTAGGTCCCCCAGAGTGTTAACAACTCTGCCCTGCTGGGGAAAATTTCCCCAGCAAAAGTGTTAACAGTTCTGCTCCAGTCTGTCTGCTCTGGCTCTCTCCAGCGAAAATGTCACCCTACACAACAAACCTCACTTGAGATTTATTGGGAAGGAAGAATCCAGGAGGGTGGCTGCCTCTAGGTGAGAAGCAGCAGCAAACTGAACAGGGTACAGAGCATATATGGTTTCTTGGGGGTGTAGAGGGAAGGTGATGTTCCAGGGTGGCTTGGTATTGGTGGATTTTTGTAGCCTGATTCTGGGCCTCAACAGTTAAAAGCACTTGTTGTTCTTCCAGGGTACTGGGAGTTTAGTTTTTAGTACCCACATCCCATAGTTCACAGCTGCCTGTAATTTCAGCTCCAGGAAATCTAACACCCCTTTCTGGTCCTCACTGTCACCCACATATACATGTACATACTACTTATACATACATACACATAAATAAAAATAAATTAATCTGAAATAATACTTTATGTTGGGTTAAATGATTTTAAATACTTTATTAAAGTTGATAGGCAACGTTCCCTTAGGCATATGAGCCTGCACTGTGCTTTGTTGAACATAAAGAACACTCATCCCTTCTTCCTGTCTCTTGTCCTGTTCCCTGGTGTCTGCTCCAGTCTAAGCAGTAATGTACCCAGTGATGTCTTCTGGATCACTAACACCGTGTGGTTCAGTGCTAGTGCTGCTTCAGAAACAGCTAGACCCCAGTGTGCTCTCCGGGCTCTTACCAGCACATAAAGCAGCAAAGCTATTAGACATGTTTGTCGGTGAAGGTCTGGACAGGCTACCCAAAAGGGCATAGTGAATCCAGAGGGTTCGGTGGTCTATATGTGGTACTGACTTCCTCCTGCAGACACCCTGGTCATTATTGGTTGAGGATAAGGTCAGTGTGAGAAATGATGGATGGTTCTGATACATGTACCAGACCACACCTGATACTCTTGTCATTTCTGTCTACAATAACATATGTTCCAACGATGAGGTCCTAGCATGGTGACTAGCACCTCCTAGGGTGTATAGTGAGTTTCCTCATTAGGGGACCAGCAATTGGAACAAGATACTGACAGCATTGGAACAAATAAATGGTGTATCTATTATACAATATCTAAAACTCAGAAGTCAAAATTATGGATATCTCATTAAGATTGAGAATCTCATTAATTGTAATGTGTACTATAAATTGTATGTTTTTAACTACATTATTTGTGTATATGGGTTTGCTTATATTCATATTGGTGTATTTCCTAAGCCTTGGGTAGACCATGCTTATTAATCCTTCAGACAGTAAGGTGTCTCTATTCTCTTAAGAACATTTATTAAGCCAGGGGTGGGGGGGTGTTGCACACCTTTAATCCGAGCATTCGGGAGCGGGGGACAGGCAGATCTCTGAGTTTGAGGCCAGCCTAACTCTACAGAGTGAGTTCCAGGAGCTACATAGTAAAACCCTGTCTCAAAAAACCAACCAACAAACAAAAATCAAACAAACAAACAAGAATGTATTAACATTGTAATTTTATACATCTTACATAATTTTATATTGCATTGGTCCCTCATAATTCATGTCATGTCAGGAACTATGCTTACTGTTTCATTGCCAGAGCTTTTGCCATTGTTTTGTTTATTTATGTATGTATATATGTATGATTGTATGTATGTATGTGGGGGACAGTAATGTGGGGAGTGCAGGTATGTGTGTAGGGATCAAGCTTGGGTATGTTGTTCTTGAGGATACCATACACATTGGTTTTTGAGACATTGTCTTTCACTGTCCTGGAACTTACAAAGTAGGCTAGGCTGGCTGATCAGAGAGCTTCAAAGATCTGCTTGTCTCTGCTTCTCCAGTGCTGGGGTGAAGTACCACCACACTGGGCCTTTTTATTTTTTATTTATTTTTTTATGTAGGCTTTTAAACTAAAACTCAGATCTTTTTTACCAACTGACCTCTCTCCCCCAGCCCCCTCCCCCCTTTTTTTCTGTGCCTCATGCATCCTAGGCAAGCACTGTGTTCTTCATCAGTGTTTACTGTTAGGAAGTGCTCCACAGACATCTATCTGCTTGATTCATTAGTGCAGCACCAGTGTGCTGCCCATGATCTGATGGTGATATTATCCTGTGAACCTGGAACTGGACCAAATGCTGACTTGATCTCACTCTTGCTGTCCTCAGGGCAATAGCCTGACTTTGATTGACCTCCCTGGACATGAGAGCTTGAGGCTTCAGTTCTTAGATCGCTTTAAGTCTTCAGCCAGGTAAGTTAGGGAGGAAGTGACATGGGTTTGTTCAAGTCTATTATGTGTTGTTGGCATCCACTCATGCTGCTTTCTCTGTTAAGATTCTGACGCCAAAAAAACAAAACAAAAGAAGATGCTGACACCATGGTGCTCTGGGGTGGAAAGGTCATACACCTGTAGAAGACCATTGGGGTACTAGGATCATGAAGTTGGGGCATGGCTTAAGGAGAGTTTCTCAGGGAGTGTTGCTCAGGGAGTGTTACTCCCATTAACATGATTAAATTTCGTGGTAACTCTGAAAATACTGTTTAAAAAATAATGTTTTATTTTTAGCTATATGGATGTGAGGTGGTATATGTGTACCTGTGTGCAGGTACATGCGTAGATATGTTGAATATCCTGGAGCTGGGGTTACAAGTGGTTGTGAACTTTCCAAGGTAGGTGCTGGGAACTGAACTCAGTTCCTCTGCAAGAGCTGAACACACACTGAACCCATGTCTCTGGCCCTTAACTCTGAAGATATGTTTAAAGATATGTTGGAGCTATTAGAATCTGGAAAAGGAATTTTGTTTGTTTGGTTTTTGATTTTTTTGAGACAGGGTTTCTCTGTGTAGCCCTGCTATCCAGGATCTCGTTTTGTAGACCAGGCTGGCCTTTTGTAGATCTGCCTGCCTCTGCCTTCCTGAGTGCTGGGATTAAAGGTATGTACTACC